ACATTTCCTCCAAATTCAATGCCAAATTAACACGTGGCCTAAGGACCAAAGGAAGAGATAGCAGATGAAAATAACCTTTCACATGGAAGCATAGTGAAGCACTGGTTGCAGCTAGTGATGTAGACCTTCATAAATTATAGCTTTGAGTCCAGTCAACATGTCCAGGAATAGTTCAGAGCTTGAAATGAATATGGAATAAGTGCCATTGGTGGAGGTGTCATGCCCTTGGTTTCGCTTCAACCTTACTCATCCACAGACAGCAGCTTCTTGCAGGTGAATGTTCACTGGGTTTCTGATCAAGAAAGTCAACCCAGGAGAAAAACACTGAAATCTAGGGTAGATTTGCAAAATCATGTGCAAACTATAATAACCTTACCACTGTGTTGTAGGTAAAGAGGCGACTGAGAGAGGTTTGAGAGGGATAAGAAGGGGAAGAACAGGAGGAGAGATGAGATTTTCATAGCTCCGGTGTGTCTGCTTTCTAGAGCGGGGCACCAGTGTGATGATCAGAAGTGACGCTGGCATCTTATGGGAAGGAGTCAAGGAAGGGGTGGGGACCTGAAAGCAACCTTCTCACTCACTGGGGGAGCAGGACAGGTGAATAAAGACACCTCAGCTGTAAGGATCTGCAGAAGGTGCAGTAATGGCTTAAAGGTGACAGAGAAACACATGGGTAAACTCATTATGATGTTTGGGGAGACAGAGGATGCTTGTTTATTAACAAGGAACTAAAAGTAAGGAAGGGTAAGAAGAAGACAGATTTTCAACATTCATTTGTCTGTAAGGTCTGATTCATGTTATATATGGGTTGCAACAAAATAAATACATATTTTATATAAACATAAAGACATTACTTTGTAAAGATCTTACCCCAGATTGAATTATATTGTGTGCATGTAAAAATAGGAAAGAAATCCCATCAATATGTACAACTATAATGCACCAATAAAAATTTGAAGTAACAAGTATTACTGAAAAGTCCAAATTTGCCTTATTCAAAAATACAAATCATTCAAATGTTACAAGTTAATCTTCCAGAACATGCCAAGCCTCTCCTCACCTCCTATTTCTTTTTCTTGTAAATTGAGTTTTTTCCTTGGCCCATATTGATCGGTAGCCAAGTGCCCAAAGACTTTGACCTGGGAGACAACCTTCCTGTAGTTTCTTTTTTCCTCCTGATTCTGTAATCTGAAGTTCGGCATTTGAGAGGATGACCGCTGCCCACACTGGACAGACTGGGCCAAACTCTCAGAGCCCCAGAGAGATGGCCTGCCCTCGAGGAGCAGGGAGACTGGCAGGTGGACAACTGTTTGTCCTGAAGCTGTTCAGGCCCCACTGGCCTCCGGCTCAGTCGCATGATGGGGAGGATGAGGCTGGCTCTCCTGGTGGACTCCACAGAGGCAGGGGCGTGGTGTGGTGAGGGTGCCTGTGGGGGCACCTTCAGGAGGCTCTGAGCCATACCTTGGCAGGCTCAGCTCTCAGTGCCTATGAAACCAGTGAGCAGAGCTGACCCCTGTCTTGGCTCATTTTCTGCTCCTATCACTGAATGCCTGAGACATCACCATTTGTCAAGAACAGATTGATTCCTTGTAGTATGGAGGCTGGGGAGTCTGCGAGGATGGTGCTCACATCTGGCAGAGTCACATGGTGAAGATGGGTCCAGCTCCTCCTTTCATCAGGGGTCCACCCTGACCGTGTCCCTTAGGAGTTGTAAGGCTGTTTGGGGTGGTGGCCTTGATGGTTCACCCTCGTTCTTTAAGTCTAGATGACTCTGACTGGTTTAACTGCCCTTCACTCTGTCTCACTCTAATGGGGGAAAGTGTTTTGCAGACAAAAAGCTTTATCTATTTATTTTTTTCTGATCTCCTTGAACTTTGCTGTAGCCCTGAGTGGGTAATAAACCAAAAACAGTTTTATCAGCAAGTTAAACTTTTTTTTTTTTCTTTTTTTCCTGTTTTGAAGGGGTCAAAGTGTGCAGAATGGGTGAGGACAGCAGGATTATCTTTTGTTCTTTGGAAGAATTTCCTGAGGCTGTGGCTGGTGAGTTTTGCCTTGAGAAGAACCTGGGAGAAATTGCTAAGTAGGTATTCTGCCTCTGGACTCTTTGGGGTTTGACGAGTTAAACTTCACAAGTTTTCCTGACCACGCAAATAGACACACAAAATGATCTGAGGATGTTGAGTGAGCATGCAGATGACAGGATCCAATGGGGAAGATGGGTCCCTAAGGCTGGAGGTGGGCTCTGGAGGGTCAGGACTTTAACAAGTGCCCGGTGAGGTTCACAGAGTCTCACAGGTTTTGGACTCCTCTGACCTAAAGCAGAATATCAGGGTGGGGCGTGGACTCCATCCCACACTTTGCAGGTGTGGAAACATGGCCAGATTGAACCAAATTTGCACCACAGAGAATCAAACCATTCCAGACTATTCCAATGAGGAGAGAGACCAGAACTCAGCCTGAGCTCAATTTCACTGGAAGAAAGAGTAGCATGTGACTGAGTCCTACACCATGGCTTCCTCCGATGGTGAATATTCTCCGGTCCTCATGGGAGGGGCAGTTTTACAGCCTGAGGCTCTTTCCTTCCTGTTGAGGCCAGTTTTCCTTGAGGGTCCCATCTCAGGGGGGACAACTCTCAGGTCCCCAGCAAGATACTCCTAGGCTGTAAAGCTGAAAGTGTCTTCTACAATGTTCCCCCCTCAAAGGAGCAGAGGAAGAGCGGACTCTGGTGAGTTTTCAAACTCAAAAGTTTGGAGACCAGGGTGGAGAGGAATCTCAGGGCTTGGTCACCTGTGTTCTGCGAGATCCAAAGAGGGCAGTGGGGCCTGTAGGCAGGGGAGGTGACCGCTTTACCACCCAGAGCCAGTTGCCCTGGCAGCAGGCCTCTCCCTATGCTTATGGTTAAGATGTGACAAGGAGAGAGAGTAATTTTCAGAGGTGACCAGATTCAGGGGCCGCAGCAGCTCTAGGTCCATGAGCGCCTCTCCGGTGACGCTTTGGGAGGGAGTTTCAAATTTGAGGGTCTCACTGGCTTCCTGGGACTGCCATGGGATCACCAGTGAGGGCAAGAAGGTGTTTTGACCCCACAAACCTTTCCTCAATCTGCCAGTGTGACCCGAGAGCAGAAGCTTGGTCTCCCCACCATGACATCTGAGGGGGATGATTGAATATAGAGTCTGGTCACTCCTGATGGCACTGCATAGATCCAGGTAGAGATCTGCTCTCTCCACCCGGGAAACCACGCTGGAGTAAATGATGACCCGGATTCCTTCAGGCTGACTCCAATCCCGACACTAATAATCTGATGCAGAATAAACTGAAAACAGCCTTCATTCTGCTCTGTTCTCAGATACCCAGGAGAGATCATCAACAACAGGACTTTAAATGCTAAGCCTTCCCATCTCCCATCTCTGTGTTGGAGGGTATTTCAAGATTTTCACTGTCCAGAGTCATCCTTTTCTTTGGCTACAGATTGGGGGGAGGGACAAAAGAAAACCACCCAGGTTGAAGTCAACGCAGGGTCATTGATGGATAGGGGGCTACACTGAGCAAACAAAACACAAGATGCCCAGTTCATCCTGAATTTCAGATCAACACGTAATTTTAGTGTACGTGCTGATCTGAAATTTAAATTTTACTAGGTATTTTACATCTTATCCAGCAACCTTATTGGAAGTTGAGCTGAGATAGTTTACAAAAGTGCAGAGCTTACTAAACACGAGTTTCCTTTTACACATTCAGTATCCCTTTCAGATAAATCCAAGAGGAGTTTATTTCCGACTCTATAAGACATAACAGAGCATAAAACACGCTTCTATTTCCTTAAGAAAATATTTATGAAAGAAAACAACTATTTTTACATCATGTATGCATGGGAAATAATTTTTAAAATAGTTTTGTAGGAAAAATGCATAACGGTGCAGATCCAACTACAATGTGCTGTATATCATATATAAGAAAACAGAGCCGGATTTGAAATAGTGGCTAACTAGAGCTGAGAAATGATGGAATCACATAGCTAATAGAAATACATCAGCAGCAGTGAGTGCTGTAACTCAGAGAGAAATACCCCAAATGTGCTTGGAGATGGAGTCTGTCCTCTGTAGGAGTCATTATGAGAACAAATGCCAGTACAGTGGCTCATAGCCTTCCGGTGACTAAAAAGCAAGGTGTAGTGTGAAATAATTGTCACCCACATCAATTCCCATCCTCTACTCGGAGGCAGAGTGAAGTGGGCAGCAATAACAACAAAAAAACATAAATTTTGGAGGAATTCCCACCCAGGGAATGTAGGCAACTTAGATGTGGATTATATGTAGACAAAACAATATTTCAGTAAATATCACTAGAAAACACTGAAGGGGAAAAAATGGATTCCAATATCATGAGCACACATGCAGAAGAAATTAAAACTTCACTCACTGTAGAGAACAGCTGAGGGAGAAAGTGGGTGAAATCTTGAAAAACTGAGCTTACTCAAGAACTCACCAGGACTTCCATCAGCATTCAGAACAATCCAACATTATAGCAGCAATAAATAAGAACAAAATACACATACAGGAAATAACACTGAATATTTTCTGGGGTTTCTGGGGTCTTGTTATTTATGCAGAGCAAACCACCCTCAGATAGGTGATTTCTAGCTGTGATGCTATTAGCTCCCATCCTAGAGTAGAAGCATAGTTACTGTCCTGATATCCACTCCCTGTAGCTCTACCAAAACTCCCAAGCAGCTAATGGCTTTTGGCTTGTCGTGTAGGTTTCATGGTCCTAAATAATTTTAAAATAAGTTGCTTTTGGAAAAAGCCATCAGACAGTGCTCCAGTTTGAAAAGTAGATGGCACCCTTATTTGCTCAGAGAGGTTGAGGGAAAAAATAGTTACAACAGCGCCCAGGGTACATTGTCTGTGTGCTGCTTGATTCAGCTTTCCTAACTCGATCTGTTTTTACATATCTAATAAAACTTGTCCCTGGGTCTGTAGGAAGTCCTAATTGTCACATACCTCCTTGTTCCAATGGCTCTCCCCAAATTAAAGTTCAAAAGAGGCCTCCCAACCTGCTGCTTTCCAATTACACTCAGGAAGGCCAGGTTCTCTGGTGTCCAAGGTGAACATTTGCAGCAAAACCTGTCAAGCTATTGACTGCCCAGGGGCCAATCAGATGCTCTCAATGGCATTAAGCTTGAGTGGGGGTGGGCACGTGTATTGTGATGTCACAGGTTCCAGACCTACAGCCCCTTGAGCCAGGACCAGAGGAGGCACAAGTGGAAGCACAGAGGAGGGAGCCACCATGAGATGACAAGAGACCCAGGGCAGCCGGAAGATGGCAGAGCAGGTACAGGAAGCCACCCTGGACTCTTCACAGCCCAGAAGCAAAGCAGCAAAAGGCCCAGAGGGGACTCCTAGAACTCAATGATGGGCAGGTCAGAACTTAGAGGGATTTGAAATTAGACCACAGGAGTAGAAAATAAGGACAGAATTCCTTGACCCCAAACCCTGACCAGGGTGGAGTAGGGAGATGGGGGGTTGGGGGGACGTGTGAAGAGAGAGAGAAAGAGGAAGAGAAAAAGCCCTCAGCTCACTTGCTCAACAACAGCTAGAAAGAGAAGGAAGAGTAAGTTAAAGTGGGAGGAGCAGCAAAGACTGTGAAGGAGGTCAAGCAGCTGAACCCAATGTACAGGCAGAGAGCTGTGCTGGGCAGGGCGGCCACTTGGTTCAGTCCATAGCCAGTCCCCATAGAAGAAATTAAATGAACACAGCTTCTCTCTCTCTTCTGATAGCAGCAAATAAAATCAAAGGGAACATTTCTGGAGTGGGTTGTCTCAGGAATCCATCTAGAAGGAACGTGTACAGGGATTTTTGCTAGATGAAGGTTACAGAAACCCCCTCCCCATCACCTCAGGCAAGGGGAGTGGGGTGGGAGCAGAGCTGAGCTAATCACTCTCAAAGGGTGCTAGCCCCCATCTAGTGCTCAGATACCACTTCTGTCAGTGATGGGCCAACCCTGGTGGTCTGCGAGAGCCAGGGTGAGGCTTCTGGGTCAGAGACCACCCCCACAGAGCCTGCATTCACAGGACCCCCAGTTACAGACAACCAACAAACACTTAGCACCACAACCAAGAAGCCGCAGCAGAGGGGTGTGGGAGCTCAGGGATGTATGGCTGCCAGCTATGGGAGCTCAGAAGAAGGGGAGCCGACTGCAACCCTGCCATAGGGATGGTACCCCAGGATGGACATCAGCCAGGGTGGAGGCTTCTGCACCACAGCCTGCCCACAGAGGGCCTGCATTCATAGCCCAAGAGTCAAAGACAATATGAAGAAGCCCCTGAAGAGGGATTTTAAAAGCCACAAGAGAAAAATTGCATGTCACATTTAGAGGTAAGCTAACAAGGCTTTCTTCAGATCTCTGAGCCTGACATTAAAAGCCAGGAGGACTTGGAATAATACATACTGACCACTAAAGATAATGGGTGCCAATCAAGATTACTATATCCTGCAAAAAACTAGACTTCATAATTGAAGGTGAAATACATCCTTCCATGATAAGCAGGAATAAAAAGAATTCATAACCATTAATCCCATACTACAAAGCCCACTCAGTAAAATGCAGAAGACATTAAAAATAAATGCCAGAGTCAGCATATGGATGAATGTTGCTAGAAGAATAGTCAAGGGACAGTCACTCTCAAACATAGAAATAAAACAGAATAGAATTTTTTAATTTAAAAATGATCTCTCTATAGTAATACTGAATATTAATGGTTTAAACTCTCCTGTCACAAGATATAGATTTACATAGTGGATTAAAAAAGAAGACCCAATGATGTTGTTGATAAGACTCTATAGGCAAAGACATCCAATGCAAATGGAGTCCAACAGTGAGCAAGAGTAGCTACTCTCTCAAAGTAGTCAATCTAAAATTGTTCAGAAGACATCAAGCAGGTCAATTCATAATGGTTGAAGGAATCATCGAACAAGAAAGAATGGGAGTGAATGTTCATGTCTCAAACATTGGTGCACCTACAGCCATAAAACCATTCTGTGTTTATATCATTATGTGCCTACATT